AAATTTAAAAGAACTAATTTTAACTATTCTAGTGCTTTGGGCATGTTTTTTTAAGTTGTTCATATATTGAAATTTTACTCATTTGTTTCTCATAAAATTTTATGCGAAAAAAATTTGATCAAATGGTCATTATACTTTTTGTATTAGAATGAAAAGACAAATTAGCAAAAACCTACAAGATCAATTAGAGTGCATCAATCTAAACTATTCTAATTTCACCAAGATCGAAATTTTCTTGTCAGAAATTTATTTCAGTTCTTATATTTATGTGTATATATATATATATAAACTTCGCTTATTCACATTGGTCGGACATCTGCTTGTCAGTTGTAAGTCTCCTTTGGTCAGAGGTTTGATTTTTCCCTAATGTAGGGTGTGATACTTGAATACTTAAGTGCATGAGGAATATTCAAATCTCGTATAATAGCCTCCGGACATTCCTCAAGTCATCTAAAGGCTTCTTATACTAGCTGATGTAAGAAAACAAATCGAGTTGGGCAAGCCCCGTGACATATTTGCACTGTATTAAATCTATAAGAAAAAGCATCATGAAATTAAAAAAACATAATAATAAGAAGAAAATTTTAGTGATGCAAGGAAGCTGCCAATTTGTTCTCCATGCTGTCGTCCTTAACAGCGAGCTGTCAATCACTATAATATATTCCCCAAAAGCCTGTTCCCGGCCCTCTTATCACCAGCATGATTAATTGGTTGGGATGATGAGTTGTTATTCTATTTTGGATTATTTGCCGGCCATGAAGCGGACTAATCCCAGCTATTACTCAAATCCACGTACGGCAACTGAAGAAAATCTAATACATAAAAAATATTATTTCTTGTTTCTGCTGCTGTGCTTTCTTTTTCTGGCCTTGTTTTTCTATATTTTTGGGATATAAGATAATCTTATGGTAGCTTGATGGAACAACAATCGTCGCTTGATCGAACTTCTGACTGTTTTTGCAGTTACTTTAACAACCATTCCTAATTCATTTCTTGATGGAGGATGGTGAGAGGTGATCATATTTAACATAACATTACTAAATCTGGGATGAGATTAAGCACTTACTGTAAGCTAGGTTTTTCGGTGTGGAACCAAACAATAGATCAAATCTTTTTGTTTTAATTGATCTAATCTCTATTTAAGCCAAGTTAAAATCTTTTTGTTTAAATTGAGATACCTGAACGACGTTATTGACTAGTACGCTTATGGCATGCAGCTACTCCGCTTTTTGATTTCACAGGTGAAAGTTGTGAAATCATACACTGTTCTTTGTGTGTGTGTGTGTGTATATATATATATATATATATATATATATATATATATATTCCATAATGGGTGACTGATTTGTGACTTTATGAGGAATTCCATCATTGCTCCTTCACATAGAACCTAAAGAAGCAACTAAGGCTCCGTTTGGGAGGAATTTTTTGGCGCTGCGCGGGCCTTTGCCGCGATTATTCGCGAAGGTTCGTCGTTTGGTTTGCGACTTTGGCTTTCGGCTTCGCGGAAGCTAAGCGAAAGCGGGAAGCGGTATTAAGGCTCCGTTTGGGAGGAATTTTTTGGCGCTGCGCGGGCCTTTGCCACGATTATTCGCGAAAGTTCGTCGTTTGGTTTGCGACTTTGGCTTTCGGCTTCGCGGAAGCTAAGCGAAAGCGGGAAGCGGTATTAACCCCGCTGCCCCGCTTTCGCAAGAGATTTTTACATTTTACCCTTTTCTCGCCTCTGCCCTAGGATCTTCCCCGCTGCTTCCCTCGCGTCCTCTTCTCCTCCTTCTTT